CCCCCCCCCCCCCCCCAATCCAGGCCAGTTTAGAAAGTGACACAGCAAAGTTTTTCACTTACATGAAATCAAAGGATCTCAAATGCATTAGGACATTGGCATCCATTTTGGTCACCTTAATGTTACCAAGATTTTCTTCTCCTTCTTCAAGAATATCATCACTCTCTTCCTTTTCCTTACTGTCTACCACCACTTTCAACTTGTTTAAATGGCAATTTTCCTGAATCAGTGTCACAGAGTTCTCATTCAAGTCATTAATTGTAACCTTAACTGCATTTCCGAGATGTTTTGCCCATTGTAATCCCATTATCCCTTAGGAAAAATTTGAAGGAAAATGAATTAAAAAAAAATTTTTTTAACATTTATTCATTTTTGAGAGAGAGAGAGACAGAGTGCGACTGGGGGAGGGGCAGAGAGAAAGGGACACACAGAATCCAAAGCAGGCTCCAGGCTCTGAGCTATTAGCACAGAACCCAACACGGGGCTCGAACCCACAAACCATGAGATCATGACCCAAGTTGAAGTCAGATGCTTAACTGAATGAGCCACCCAGGCGCCCCAGAAAATGAATTTTTTAAATTAATTAAAGAATAAAAACACTATATAATAATAAAGTATATACTCTTTTATAAAAACAAAAACACATGTTTCAAAATCTTAGTATTTTCATACATAACTTTTTCTACTTACTCACTACAAAGCCTCTGAAGAAAAGTAACCACACACAAAAAATATGTTGAGCAGATTTCCATTAATAATTCTTCCAAAACTTTTCTATAATCCAGATTCAAATAAAGTTTTTGTTTGTTCTTTATTATGGGGAATAGGTTTTCTTTTTTAAAATTTCTTATAATGGAATGCTTTTTTCAAACTAAATCTTACAGAGAAAGCCAACATACAATGTGAGTAAGAGTGGAGTTACTCTGCTTGGTGTGTGGGAAGTTGGAACTCCTCCCACTGCTAAAGTTTACCTAATGCACCAAAATATGAAAACAACTTTACTGGACCAATATTTTTCCAAAACTGCACAATAGCATCACTGTGAATTGAAGAGAACAACTTTGTACATGTAAGCAAAGATCAAGAATTCAGACCAAGAAAGCCTCTTCTCATAGGCTCTCTATACCTACTGGATTAGAGTCAGAGGGGACATTCATTACAAAGGAGATGGTGACACGGGCCCAGCCACTGTGGATTAGAAAACCCCCATGTACTAAAAGTATAGACCAGCTTTTCCATACATGTGCCTCATAAAAGTAAATATTTAACATCTACTATGTACTATGGTCTTTACAAAAATTTTCATATTCTCATAACAAGCTTGTGAAATAAGTTCTGATATTCACATTTTAGAGATGGGGAAGCATGCAGACTAACTGCTATGAACGGATATAAATTTACAAAAGAACATTAAAAGAAAGGACTGAAAAGATCTTCCCCAAACATTAGCTTTAATGATTTCAGGTGAAAAAAAGAGTAGTTCATTTCAGCATTATTTACAATAGCCAAGACATGGAAACAACCTGTGTCCATTGATGGATAAAGAAAATGTGATATACACACACACATATACCCCCACAATAAAATACTATTTGGCCATAAAAAAGAAGGAAATCCTGTCTTTTGTGACACCATGGATGAACTGTGGGGGCGCTATGTTAAGTGAAAGAAAAACAAACATTGTATGATTTCACTTATATGTGGAATCTAAAAATACCAAACTCATAGAAACAGAGATCAGATTTGTGGTTGCCAGAGTTGGGGGCAGAGGGTGGAAGAATTGGGTGAAGGTGGTCAAAAGTCCAAAGAAGACACACAAATGGCCAAGAGACACATCAAAACATGCTCAACATCACTAATCATGAGTAAAAGGCAAATAAAAATGAAGTATCACCCTTACACCTGTAAGAATGGCTAGAATCAAAAAAAATCAAGATAAGTGTTGGTGAGGGTGCAGAGAAAAAGAAACCCTCATGCACTGTGGGTGGAAATGTAAATTGCTGCAGTCACTGTGGGAAACAGTATGGAAATTCTTCAAAAAAATAACAGAATTACCACATGAGCCAGTAATTCCACTACTGACTATTTACCCAAAGAAAATGTAAACACATTCAAAAAAATATATGCATGCATCCCTATGTTTACTGCGGCATTTTTTATAATAGTTAAGATATAAAAGCAACCCAAGTATCCACTGATAGAATAAAAATGGGGTATATATACAATGGAATACCTTTCAACCATAAAAAAGAATGAAATATTGCCATCTGCAACAACACAGATGGACTTAGAGAGTATAATGCTAAGTGAAACAGACAAGGATAAATACCAAGATTTCACTCATACGTGGAATTTAAGAAACAAAACAAACAAAGGGAAAAAAAGAGACAAACAAAACAACAGACTCTTAAATACAGAGAACAAATTGGTAGTCACCAGAAGGGAGCTGGGTAAGGGGATGAGTGAAATAGATAAAATGTAAAAAAAAAAAAAAAAAGAAAGGAAAAAAAAGAAAAGAAAAAAATGTAAAGGGTTATGTACAAGGGAAAATGCTGAAAACTAAATTTGGAAAAGTAGGTTGGGATCAGATTATGCAAGATATTAAATTGCTTTTAACCACTACTTTTCCCTGTGAAGAGGAACTTGAAAAGGAGAGCTAACTCACGCTTTCATCCTTTTATTACAAACTTCCCAAGAATATACTCCTCTAACCTTTAAAAAGAAAGACTTGGATTAGGTACAGGTGGCTTCTTAGAAATTTTCTACTCTTCCATGATCGTTTCTTTACTGTTAAGTTCTTTTAGGAAAATGTTCTCAGTCTTTAAAATTTCACCTTACCCCACTGCCTAATGACTAGGCAATTTATCACATCACAAAAAAAGAGAGACAACCAAACATCAAATACTTCCTAATTGCAATAAACAAGTATTCTTGAAAAAAAAAAAATCCTATTTGAATCTGATCAAACCTGAAAATTCAACTACCAATAGACAGAAATACTGGAGATAACTACCAATATACAGAAATACTAGAGATAAAGAAACAGGTTTTATGAGCTATGATTTTTGCCATCAGCAAAAATCTAGACTCTGGAAAAGACAATAGACATATAGACAAGCTGTATGTCAACAAATAATCATCACACACGCAAACAAAATGATGGAAATGAATACAGAGCAAAAGGACACTTCGATATCTCAAACAATGAAAATGCATAGTCCTCATCTGAATTCCTACTTGATTTTTTAAGAAACTGTGAGATCCTAGCTCTAGCTATGTTTAGCATAGTTAAACATTTGATGATATCAATGTGTGATAATGGTATCAAGGTTTTATTTTTGTAAAGTCCTTATCTTTTAGAGATCCAACTGAAATATTTACAGATAAAATGACATATTTGTAATCTGTTTCAAAGTAATAGGGATGAAAGATGGTGGAGGAGGTATAAGGGTAAGTGCATGAGATACATATACACGAACAAGCATAAGTTGATAATTTTTGAAGTGAGTGACAGATACACAGGGATTCATTTATTATACTCTACTTTTGTATACATTTGACATTTTTCCACAATAAAAGTATTTACCTTGGGTCTTTACTTTTTATGTAAAAATATTCTGCTAGATACAATATCCATATAAATTTTCCAAGAAAAGATACTGCATATCTGATAATTAAAGTGGGATCCAAAAAAAGCTTCATTACTTACCAGTGGCTCCAAAGGCATCTAGACATTCCAAAGGTTTTCGTTCCTTGGCCAAAGCAGCCAATGTACAAAATATTAGCTGTCTAGAAAAAAGTATAATAATCTGAAATAATCTTACTGCATCATGGCTTCATCACTCTAGATTTTATTTAAGAATAGTAAGAATTAGGGTTCCTATTTACTATACAAACTATTTTGAAAGAAGACGTAGTAACATATTCTTTACCTAGTAGTACAAGAACTAAACATGTGTGAAATTAAACTATCAATCTAACTGGGTTCTATAAACAAGCATTCACCATGAATAATGGTTTCATAAATAAAACTTGCCCACTAAAGCACCAGCCTGTTCATTAATTATATAAAGGCAGGCCTATTTTACTGAGAAAGAAATTATTTTGGTAGGAAAAAAAGAAAACAATCATTCTGAAAAATACTAAAACAGATGATTTTCATTCTGTACCCAGTTTTAAATTTCAATATATTAGAACATAAAAAGAAGGTCACATTTGTAATCATTTGAAACATCCCATAACCCTTTTTTCAATTCATCTTACCGATTTAGTTTCATTTTGGGATTAAAATAGGAATCTGTTTTTTGAGGTATAGAATAGTTAGGACAAACTTGTACATCTGTGTCTGCCTCTTTCAAAATTTCATTAGGTGGTTTAGCAGCAGAAGCTAAGATGAAAAACAAAGATTTCCAGTGAAATACAAAATAATTCTAAGTATCTAAAACAATATACATTAAAAGAAATAACTTTCCTTTATAATACTTTGTTAATGTAATCAACCGGGCAGATATCAAAGAAGAAAAACCCTAAAGTGATCTATCTGTTCAGTACTGTCTGTAGGAAAGAGTAGCATTCAATTAAGTATTTGGGCAATTAAAGTTTAAGTTAAATTCTTATCTGCCTAGAACATAATACATCTATATTATGAAACCTAGTTAAGAACAATTAACCTAACATAAAACCATTATAAAAATTCTAAAATACGTTTATTATTCATCAAACTACTATGCTGCATTTACATAGGTTGGCTGTTCAACATATCTTACTGTGGTATAACTGTTATAAAATTAGTATCTCTGTATGGTTTCATTCCATTAGCTATCATGGATGACTAAGAATCACTATACTTCCTGAGCATGCTAGATTTCAGAACTTTTTTTTTAATGTTTGTTTATTTTTGAGAGAGAGATACACACAGAGCACAAGCAGGGGAGGGACAGAGAAAGGGGAAGACACAGAATGGGAAACAGGCTTCAGGCTCTTAGTTGTCAGCACAGAGCCCGATGTGGGGCTCAAACCCGTGAGATCATGACCTGAGCCAAAGTCAGACGCTTAACTAACTGAGCCACCCAGGTGCCCCTTCAGAACACTTTCTTATGATTATAATTTTAAATCACAAATTACATTCAAATGGGCATAAAGTAACAGAAAAAAAAAGATTCTACATTTAGTATACATTAGAATCATTTAGCTATAAACCCAAATGAAATACTGATATATTTGTGTGTGTATATTTTAAATATTTAAGAAATGAGACATACATATCATGTGTGGGGAAAAATAACCGAGATTCTTTATGTTTGGATTTCTTGATAATATTATGATCAGAATGTTAACTACATGGCAACTATATATTTTTTTTTCTTTTTTTTTTTTTTTTTTTTTTTTTTTAGAGACAGAGAAAGCACTAGCAGTGGAGAGCAGCAGAGTGCAGAGGAAGAGAGAGAGAGAGAGAGAGAGAGAGAGAGAATCTTAAGCAGGCTACATACTCAGCAAAGAGACCAACCCTGGGCTTGATCCTGCAACCCTGGGATCACGACCTGAGCCAAAATCAAGAGACAGATGCTCAACTGACTGAGCAACCCAGCTGCCCCCATATTTCTTTTTTTACAGTGCCAAATCATCGTAACCTTTCCTAGTGTTGCATTATATATTCTACGCCTACCTAAGTGGCATGTGACATATTTCACATGATCAGCCTTTCTCAAACCAGATTCTATTAGAAAATTAAGCTCTACAGAAAATTATTTTTTTCAATTCTTAAAAGGTACATAGTACCATTTTAGATGTGTAGGAGAGAAGTTAATTCATTACATACAATGGATGCCATAGGGCATGATGTCTTAATTAATCTTAATTTTGAGAAGGGCTGCCTCAGTAATAATAACCTATTAATAACCTGATAGCACTTCAGGATAATAAATGATCTTTATATCACTCTATTTCCTTTTTCCAGTGTTTTTCAACAGTAAGTATAACATACTTATCTATAATCTTTCATTAAGATACCTATATTTACTTTGGCATCAATCAGTTAAATGTTATGAGGAGCCTCACAGAAAGAAAAGAAACCTGAAGTCATGGATTAGTAGTCAATTAAATGGTGAAGTCACTATATTTTATCTACTTGATGTCTGAAAATAATAACTGGACCATTATTTAAGAATTTACCTATTAATATATTGCTCAACTTACCAGCAATATACTTGGATTTCGTCTCTCCTTTATTCACATGTCGCCTAACATGTCCCAGCATATCAGTCCTTCTGGTGATTGTTGCTGAACAAATAATACAATGATAATGGGCGCCCATTTTACTGGATATCTATCAAACAGAGTATTTAATTTAAATATACAGGTAAATTACTAAAACAATGAAACAGAAGTTTATTTAAGATTGCAAATTTAAGTATGTTAGCATATCTTGGGTTTAATGGTAGAGAAGAGAGTATTAATATTGCCATGGGACTTTGAAGGGATCTTTATTTCCTTATCTATATTTACATATGATTTTTACTTACTTTATAATAGACCACTAATTTAATTTATTTTGTTCATTCATTCTAATCAGCAAATAACTGTACCCTATTTTCTATAAGTAGCACTTACAAATGGTATAACATTAGCAGCGTTGTGCTGGTAGATGTTTAACAATTGTTCTCCAGGAAAATAAAGCCCTGACTTATAGTGTTTGCTGCTTTCTGTGGCATATATACTCTATCATGGCCAATTTCAAACTATAATTGTTGCAGATTTCAAGCTACTCATATGCTATCACTAAATGTGAATTTGGGAAGAGATAGATAATATCATACTGGAAAACATGGCTACCAGGTGGATAATACAAAAATGTAGTAAAATAATTAGGAAGTGATGAGATTTGAATATTATTACCTTTGTAATATATTCACCTTAAAGTTTATACAATTTAATTTTTAATAATGGCCATATTTAACAATCAGCTTTCAATATTTCTAGAAATTTCAGTTAGTTTCAGCACATCACAAAATGTTAGAGACATAATAAGTCTTGGGGCACTTGGCTGGCTCAGTTGGTGGAATGTGCGACTCTTAATCTCAGGGTTGTGAGTTCGAGCCCCACGTTGGGTATAGAGATTACTTAAATCTTAAAAAAAAGACTTTTTTTTAAAAGTCTATTTGTCCAAGTAAAAAATTCTCACTTGAAAATTTCTTTAAAATTTAGTTGAGAATAAAAAGACTGGCTTTTTCCTAGTTTTGATGACTTTTACTCTTAGATCTTCTAAGATCTTAGATCCTATTTACTTGGGATCAAACAGCAAGTTGAGAACACTGCAGAGTTCCTTATGGTACTGTGGTTATCATATTCAAAATGTCCTGGATAAGGCCGATGGGCCAAGCATTGTCCTAATTACTATGTAAGAAATTTTTGGGTTTTTTCTCCCCAGCACTTTACTCTTTTTAGTGACATGAAACAAAATTAATAACGAGGCCTCTTTAAGCTAGTATTCACTCAAGATAGCAGCACTAAAAAATATTATGTAATTTGTATTCCCCAAAATTCACATCTATGCTAAAAATGAACACATGTACTTTTTAAAGAATTATTAAGATTTCAGAAAGATTCTTGATACTGTCCTTTGACAAATTAAAAGTATAGAGAAGATAAATATGAATTGACACAAAGATACTTACTAAGTCACAGAAATTGAAGGCTTTTATTCCAGAATCAAAATTTATTACAAAAGAAAAAATTTACTTTTTATTTAAATTCTCCATTCCAAAATTAGTAAATAGGTCAATTTCCCTTTTGAACATAAGAAAACAGTTTCTCTGACTAAAATTTAAAATTATAAAATGAAAAGTTCAATACAGCAACTCTTTTTTCCATATAGTTCATATTTTTCCTGCTAGGATAATCTGAAAGCACTCAGATACAAAATCTTAAAGTAAACCTCATTGCCAAATATGCCCATAGCCTTAGAGCAAGTAAAAATTGTGCTTTCTTTAAAGAGGGCAAAATTTAAAAATAAATCTAACATCTGATTACCTGTTCTCCAATAATGTTTGGTTTCACTGGTCGACAAGGTAAGTGACAGATGCACATCCTGTAACCTAAAGTGAAGAATGGCTGGTTGTCATATCACTGTTCACTAAATAGTCCATTATCATTAAAAATTATTAGCAAATTTCATAAGAATAACTGGAATTCTTCTTGTATTTATAATATTGTAATTTATTTGAATGAGACTGTTAGTTTTAGATATTTGTTATATAAGATATAGCATAAAAGCAAATATATGAGATCCAGGTTTGAATGCCGAGACCGTGCATTGTCTTGGTTAGTTAGCTTCTTTGGGACTCAATTTTCTCATCTATTCTGTCATGTTGACTTTTCTTAGGCTTCATCTTCTTTGCCTCATGCTACATTTGCCATTACATAGCCTCTTCTTCCATTGATGATACGTCACTTAGTTCTCTCCCACCCTTCTTAATCTTCTTCACAGCTCCTCTTCCCTCTGTTATACTCTAAAACGCAGACTTTCTGTAGGCTTGCTCTGCTACATGACTGTTTTCCCTCGTTTCCTTGGTAATTTTAATGCCTTTTATGACTGCAACTATCTCCACTGGGGGAAGGAATTCCAAATTCTAGCTGTAGTTACTAACTCCTTACTGAAGGCCAGATCTCTATTTCTAATTGCCTACTGAGGATGTATGCCTGGGTTATCAGGTCAGCATTTCAAAATCTACTGTCATGGACTATAAATATATCATTTCCCCTTGAACCAGGTCTCTTTTCCACTTTTTAAATGAATGATAATGCCTTCCAGTTGCTCCTAACTTTAAGTGATCTCCAACTCCTTTCTTCTCATTCCTTACATCTAATTGTTTCTCTTACTTGTACATACGGAAGTATTTCTGGACTCAGCAACTTCTTTTTTTCCACTGATATGTACTCCTATGGTTATCCCATCCAGTCATATAGCTTTAAATACTATCTGTAGTCTGACAATTCCCAAACTTGTATCTCTAGCCCAGACCTTTCCCCAAACCCGAGATTCATATCTGGACAAGCTACTGACATCTCCAGCAGATGCATCTAAACCTTTGCATGCCTGAATCTGCGGTCTTGGCCTTCTTCCCCAGTACCTGGTCCTAATGATGAGGGAGGATGGGGAGAGCTGAGGGCAAAGTGAGACTAAAAGCACCTACCCCCCCCCCCACCTGTATGATATTCCTTGGACACTCCTGGCTACCCAAAAAACAAATGGTCAAACTGATTAAGTCTCCACCAGTTTACTAGAAAAAGGCAATCCCATCAATAAACCAGAGTATAGGAACTCTCTACAGTCTTAATGTCTTGCTGGAGGGAAAAACAACTTTAGCTTAACTACAGCTAGGCCTCCAATAAGCCTTTAGCATGTGACAGTCTCTTTGGAAATTCCCCCTTGATTCTATCTCCCCCACCCCCTCCGTAAACTAGTTACCCCCCCACACTTATAGTACAGCTCTTCCTGCCCACATGTCCTGTCCTCATGCTTTAATAAAATCACCTTTTTATACCAAAGACGTCTTCAAGAATTCTTTCTTGGCCATCGGCTCTGGACCACCGCCATTCTTGGCTTTTTTCTCCCTCACATCTCACTTCTATCCCTTTGAGAGGTCTTGATGCTTCTACCTTAAACATATTTGTCAACTACTTTGAGACCTGCTTGCTAGGACAAAAACTATGACACTCGCCATCTACCAGATCATCATGTGAAAAAACCCAACTTAATGTACTTAAGAGAGTAAAGAAATACCACGAGCCATTTACCAGAATAACTTGAAGGAGGAAGACTAAACCTAATGGTTAAACAATGGCTTAAATAAAGAATACAAAAGAGACCTTTTTAATTAAAATGAGACATTTCTCTTTTTTGATAAAAAGTCAACATGATTTACTACACATTCTTATGTATAATTAAACATAAAAGACAGGATGGCTTCTGAATTAAGTCTCTAATTCCTTCTTCCCTAAGGAACAAGTGAGAACCTTGTACCAGTTCCACTAAGAAAATAGTTCTGGCTTCTTTTCTGGGTGTCCATACTGGCTATTTCATCCGGTTTGGTTCAAACTCCAGATAACCACACTTAATAACACCTATACTCACAAAATCATATTCAAATGTAAATATACATATGCTTAAGACTGATATTTAGGGCTTTGGGGGGGGTATTTTTGGTTTTTATCCAAATGTAGTATCACAAAATCTTCCATATATATTGTATTCAATTGCAGTTTATCATGGAAATCCTTCCAAGTAAGCTAGTACTCATCTAACACATACTTTTTACAATGCCTGCATAATATGTCATAGCACTTCTGTACCATAATGTATTCAACCATTCCTTTTATTTTAGTTTCAAGTTTTTGTCACTAAGTACAAGCTGCAATAAATATTCTTGTATATCTATTCTTGCCTATTGATTCTTTTACTCCCAAAGGAGGGAGTGCCTGGGAGATATATACATTTTAAATTTTAAAAATGTTGCCAGATCTCTTTCCAAAAATGGTATAATTCACATAATTCACTCCAAAATCTAATAATAATTCATTATACTTAGGAAATCTTTTAACTTGATAAAACCTCAATTTTTAAAAATGTTTATTTATTTTACAGAACAAGGGGGGGTGTGGGGCAGAGAGAGAGAATCCCAAGCAGACTCCGTACTGTCAGTGCAGAGCCTGATGTGGGGCTCAAATCAACGAACTGTGAGATCATGACCTGAGCCAAAACCAAGAGCCAGACGCTTAACCAACTGAGCCACCCAGGCACCCCTAAGATCTCATTTTTTTGTCCTTCAACTTTATTCTTTATATGAGCCCTCTTGTTAAATTTAGTCCCCCAAATTATGTCATTTTTGTCATTATCACAATTGGTATCTTTTTCCTAATTTCCATTTATCTAGAGTAGAGAAAGGCAATGATTTCAAATATTGATCTTATATCCCACTACCATTCTACATACTCTAATTAACTCTAGTTTTTTGAAGCTATCAGCAGAAAAAAGATATTGTCTTCTCTTTTCCAATACTTACATATTTTATTTCGTTTTACAATCATTATACCTTCAAAAGAATGTGTCAAATGGTAGTCGTTCAACAAGTTATGGGGACCCCCCAGGGCCAAGCAAACTACCCAGTGTAGAACAGATGCTTAATAAATGTTTGCTAAACTAAACTACACTTGCAACATACATCTTGTTGCCAGAGAGCTACATGGCCTTTTATTAATAAACACATTAAAAGAGGGTCATTAAATCCCTCAGAAATTTTAAATGGAAAATATTTGATTATGTTCACAATAAAATTCCAAAACTGGTACTGAATCTTGAATTTCATTTATGTTTAGCAAGCATAAAACTACTAACCTTCAAATTCAACCGAGACTTTCCAGTGTAAATTTTGAAGGTGACGACGAAGCTTATGGCTATTACAAGCTCTGAATTTTTCCTTAGGGCACAATGGACAAGACTGTTTGTTTCCTGGCCAAAAAAAAAAAACAAAAAACAAACAAAACAAAACAAAACAAAAAACCAATAAAGCACAGATATACTAGCTACTAATACCTTGACTTAGCTACAAAAGAAGTCATAGGGGACTCTCTCCACACAACACACACACTTCTTAGATAATGTCTATGTTAACGTTAGGGAGAAATCATCTCTGCCTCACCAGGTAGTTAACAATAACTGTATTAGCACATGGTCAGTGATTGATTTTTTACCCTAAAACTCTCCTCTCTGTGGCTGATATCCTTGTTGCCCTTGGGAACAGAGAGAATGAGAAAGTGATGAACTACATGATATCCCTCCAGCCAAAATGCCTGCCAGGGAGAGAATCAGGGGCAGCACTTGTCACACTCCCAGAGAGGTAGGAGCTGGGCAGGAAGCATAAGCACCTGCTGTGGCATTCTACTCTGGGCAGCAACAAAAACAGTTAACAGGTGGAGTCAGAAAAGCGGGAGGAGTGGAAGGAGTACATGGGATCCAAAATAACTGCCATTCTGGGACAGGGAGCATAGTTAGAACCTGCTGTATCCTATTTGAGAATTTGTTAAATTCTTCCTTCTTTATTAATGAAAAGATATGGATCATAAAAAATACAAGTCTTATTTAATTAGAGATGTAACAGATCTCAAATATAAACTTTGATAGGGACAAAAAAACTAAAATCTCAAATTCAGGTTTAAAGCAATAAAAATATACAGAAATCATCAGTGACTTATTTTTTAAATCCATATAGCACACTGCAGGTATAGGCAAAATTAATTTTTCAATATGTTCTGCCTACTTCAAAAACCCATGAAGTGATACTGAGGACAGAATTCAAACACTAAGGATGGCGAAGCAGAAAGAGAGGAGCTTGAGGCAGTGACAGCAATGAGGAACTCTTGCACCAGCCCTAAAAATTCCCCACCGTGGGACTTCTTTTACATGACACAATATAAGCCTTTCTATTACGTAAGGCACGGTTTCTTGGGATTTCCGTTACTCATAGCCAAATGCAATTCCTAACTTATAGAATGGACAGCACTTATATATCATGAAATTATAATTTCCTCGAGGAGCAATGAACAACTTATTCCCATAACACCTGTGCATGTAGAAGGCTACCAATTTCCTGAATGAAAACATTTTATTTATTACTGCTCTAGTTCAATGGCAATAAACAAGTCTATTTTCAGCAATTTTTCATGAGTTGAAATTCTGATATAAATCAGAAATTAAGGGAGACAAACCCCTCCAAATATGGAAGTACCTGCATCAAGATTATCTGAGTTCAACGAACTGGCAGAGTCAAAATCCCCTTCAGTTACGAAAGCTAACTTCTCTAGATCAGCAAGCTGCCTTTGAATTGAGATGTGTCTCTCTGAAAGGAAATTTTAAGAGTTAGAAGATTATGTTTTAACAATCTGAATTCAGTTATTTGATCACGTCAACAGACTCCGACACTTGTATTTCCTGTAGCATGGCGTCCTGGTGCCTAGATGGGGAATACTGCTGCAACTCAGCTTATGTATGACAAGCGTGCCTCAGATTGCAAAAAGTTGGGTAAAAAAATGCCACTGTGTAACTTCACGCCTTTAAACTTTAATTATTCAATATAATTCTACAAAAAATGTTTTTACTCTGAACAAAATGCTGAAGAAACATAAGCCATCTCCCCTATCTTTATAAAGAAATTTCAACCAGGTGGAAGTCATATTAATATGTTAACCAACTATAACACAAGGCAGAATGAAATGAATACTGAGGTAAAGGTACTATGATGTGGGCATACATAGGAAGGGGGAATTAATTCCAATGACTGCCTCTGGGAATGTCTTCACTGAAGAGGTGGCATTTGACTGAGATGTAAGGTATGCATAGAATTTCAATAAGCAGAGATTTGGTGGCTGCCCTTATAAACTGAAGTAACCTCATCAACAAAGGCACAGCATGTGAAAAAAAAAGAAAAAAAATACAGCCACCTCTATCCCGCCCCTGGCTGGAATGTAGTATGTTTGGAGAATGGGGTTGGTAGGAGAACAAGCAGTCAAAAATGTATAAAGATGATGGAAGAACATAAATTCTATGAAAGCTAGGCTGGACTTTCATCTTCAGTTAATTGTGAAGTCTGCATGATTTTGAGGAAGTGAATGATGTGATCTGAATGCATTTAAGGAGGTTATCTCTGGCTGTAGAACCTAAGACAGTAACTGAAGTGAGAATTAGCAATGGAAAGGTACAGAATAGATGGTTAAAAAAAAAAAAAAAACCAGAGAACTTTGGATTTGAGAAATAACTGTGAATGAAAAGTAAGTTCAAGAATGATTCTAAAAAGATTTCAAGTTTATATAGTTGAGAATAATGGTACCATTAACCAATGAAGGAAGAGGAAAATATTTTGGGTAGAAAAGGAAAGGAGAAAAGGGAATTTAGTTTTTGACATAGTGTGTTTGAGGTAATACCAGTATTCATATTCAAGTCTAGTTTATGCAGTTGAACTGTTTTTGGAGCTCAAGAGGGATATAAATCATAAATACACGTAAGGTGAAACTAGGAGCTTAAGAAAGCCCAAGGAAAAAAACATTGTGAAAAAAGAGAAGAAAAAGGGCAAAGTCCAGCCCCAGTAACACATTTTTAGGTTTCTCAAACATTATACGTTCTTCAAATGTCATACTTGTAAACTTTGGAATATATGAATAAATCTTACCCAAGATTATTACCCAAAGATGCATTACCCAAAGCTGCTGTGAACCCTCTGCTGATTAGTATAAATAGATGCAATTTGGAAATGAGGTATGGAGAGATGCAGGTAACATAAGAGATACTAAGGAAAAACAATCAGAAGGGTAGATTCAAAAAGAATAAAGGATAAGGAGAATCAAGATAAGATAGAAGCCAAGAGAAAAGAGAATGTAAAAGACAAACGTTCAACACTATCACAAATAGTTGCATAGATCAATAAAAGACCACTGGATTTAGTATTAGCAGGTCTCCAGTGACCTTTACAAAAAAGGTTCAGTGAGGTGCTGTGGAATACAATGGGACTAGAAAAAAAACACAAAATATAGAAAACCATATAGATTATTTCTTTCAAAAAAGGTGGCAGTATAAAAAAGGAGATAGATGGGACTGTAGTTTTTCTTTTTTCTTTTTTTTTTTTAAGGAGAGACTTGAATATACATATCTCCAAGGAAAGTAATATTTACTAAGTGGGAGCTTGAAAATACAAATACAAGACTAGGAGATGAAAATTGACAGGAAAAATCCCTAACTAGACAGAAAACGGTAAACCGTAGGGCTCGCTAGTAGTCATTATACAATTAGGTTATACAATTTAGAACCTTAAGCCTTTTAAATTCTGTTCTTGTCATTGCTACCTTCCTGCCTATTCCTCTCCAAGCTTCACTCCCACTTCTTTTTTTTTTTTTTTAACTCTTCAGTATAATTTGTGCCCTTATTTGTCTCCTCCACAAATAAGCAGTAAGAAGGCAGGGGCTATGCCTTACTCAGTTTTGTAATGACTACGTGCCTAATACAGTATCTTGCACACAGCAGGCACTACAGTTTGTTAAATATTTTTTAAAAATCATTAGTAAATTTTAGATGCAGTAGCATACTAAAGTCAGTAATTTTGGAATTCAATTCAGCACCATCAGATATTCCTACTCAAATTTATTAAAAGACAAATTTTTACTTCATTTTTAAAAGAGAAAAAGAGCAACGTATGTTATTGGTTAACTTATTACACTAGGTACTGTTTAAGTGACTTTATGAAGAGAAAATTTCTATAAATAGGCAAAATTTTTTTCCCATTTGAGCAAAATCTTTTGTTAGATGAGACGGTAAGATTCAGGCAATGAATCCATGTGTATAAACCAATCCATTTCATTTGTAGTCATAAAGGCTTTTGGCTTCCAAAGTTCAAAGATCTGTGTATGTGAAACAAGATATACAATACTATGTAAAGATATGCTTTCTGAAATCTTTCTAAGTAGTATAAAATAAGAGAAAAGGACCTGATAAGTTAGAAGAGAACAATGAAAATTCTGTGGTCCACTATTAGAGAGAACTCTCAAAGATCTGTCTAAAGATTCATGATATGCCTGAAATTACTTTCTGGTTCAAAATAGTAGATATCAGACAATCTGTACTTAAATCACTCAAACTTTTTCTAACACCCTAATAATCCAGAAGTCAATAGGCAAACCTCCTGTTAAACAGATGAATCCAAAACGCTAGGAGGTTATTTTACAACTTCTGTTACGTTTTCCTCATTTTTCAATTCTATTTCAGATGTGTCATCTTCATCCTGCCTACTTAAGACTGATTTCAAATAACTAGACCGTATAAAAATAATTTTTAAAGTGAGATTAATATGTATTTCCAATGCATTTCAGATTTCTAAATCATTATATATTTGTCCCTGTAATCCATTTTCAGGTTTCTCAAACATCATACATTCCTCAAATGACATACTTGTAAATTCTAGAATATATATCTTCCCAAACTATGTTTAAAATATTGTTGCTGGTGGGGAGTTGAAGAAGCATGCATTCCCTAAAGCTGCTGAACCAATTCTGATTAATACAAACAAATCCAACCTGGAGGGGAGGAAGGGAGGCTACTTACTCAGGAGAATGTACCACCCCCAACCCCCAGCTGTAGTTGTGGGTGAAGAAGCAACTGTCCTTATCTTGTACCTAGCAGTTCTGATTTAGTATGAGGAGGAGGGGCCTACCAGAGGCACGCTGTCTTTGTCTTTGCTGTGATCAGCTCTACTCTTTCTTTATTTAATCTACTATAACAATTTATATATGGCTTTAAAATTGCACAACTCTATTAAACTATAACTATCCAAGTGTTTTATAAACATTAAATTCACAACTGGCCTAGAAGTAGGAAAGAAAATGAATTAATTTAAATCATTTTGTTATAATTCAGATAGAGCATTAAGGGTCAATTTATGGCCCACAAAACAAAACAAAACAAAACCCTTAGACTTTACATTTAAAACATTCACAAGATTCTTGAGTGTTATTCCTTACGGTCCCCTAAATCACCACTTACAAAACATGCACGCACATACAGAAGCACAGTAATAATGGGCTAATAATTTTCAACAGTCGACTTCTGATGGAACTGGAGTACAAAACACAACTGGCATTTATGTCTGAGGGAAGACATCTGTAATTTAGTTCGACCCTTTCTTAAACTACTCATCAGCCTCAAATTCTTTTTGGAAGCAAGGTGCTGAAGAAAATTAAATAATAAAAACTCATCTATTTGTGCGTGTCGAGCATAAAAGCTACTTGACAGCAACGGTTTCTAAATCTGGCAGCTAGGATCTACTACAGTAAACAGGTTGCCTCGGTTACCATGTCACTTTTCGAAGGACTTCGTGAACCATGGCAGACGGGGCTGAGAGGGAAACTACCAAATTAGGTGTAACTTCCTATTTTCCTATCAGAAAAGACCCCCTTTAACGAAAAAGCCCTCAACCTCATCATTTCCTTCTATCTGCAGCACCCCTGGCCTCCACAAATCCTCTACCATGATGTCCTCGAGGTTTGTGGAGATGCCTTCTCCCATTCTGTATCCGCTTCACCCACTACACGGGTCCCTCCTTCCTCCCCCCACATCCCTAAACCTGCCTTTCCCCATAAAAACCATCCCAGTGAAGGGCCTCCCCTACTCCCCAGCAAGGCGCACTTTCTCGCTTCTCTTGCGGCAGAAAGATCTGGGCCTCCTGCACTTACTGCTTTCAGCCTCGTCAGGGGCAGAGGCTAGGGACGGGGACAGGGCCGGAGCCTGGGCCAGGGCAGGGGCTGGGGCTGGAGCCGAGGCCGGAGTCGGAGCCGAGTCCGGGGCCGGGGCCGAATCCGGGGCCGGAGCTGGGGTCGGGACCTGGACCTGGGCCACCTCCACCTCCTCCTTCTCCTGGGGTAGCAGCTCCTCCTCCGCCATATTCTCCATAGTTACCGCCTCCGTGCCAGGCCCGCCCGGGGACCAGGAGGGGCTCACGGCGGGGTGAGAGAACTGGCGTGAAAGCCCAGAGGGCTGGATCCAAGGAGTGGGAAAGCAAATGGGGAGGGCTGGATGCGTGCAACAGACAAAAGATGAAGAACCAGTGACCAAATCCTGTCAGCAGAAAAATAAAAAGCCAGAGGCAGCAATTCGCGGTGCCGTCCGCTTCCCTTTCCCCGAGGCGTTACGACGCCACCACAGGCTGCGCAGTAACGTATCGGGGCGGCATCCAATGAGGTAACGGAGTTCCGCTTCCGCGGTGCGTCTCCGTTCCAGCCGTCAACCACGGAAGCGAACCAAGACTACAATACCCAGGGTGCAGCGCGCCACCTGGGGGCGGAGCCCGAGTTCCAAGTCCTTGGAAGAAGTAAACGCGAAACTAAACAAACGCTCGGAGCGTTCGAGTAGAGAAGTCTTGGTTCGAGTGCAGAACTACATTTCCCAGCGGGCATCGGGACCAGGGGATGTCCTGGGCCTCTGGAGTTGCCACCGTCGCGGGCGCGAGTAAGGTAACTGGGGCGCAAATTGACGTTTGGCTGGGCAAGTTCCCACTTCTCTCACACTGGTACCCTAGCGGATGGCCAGCTGGTCGGAGGATTCCCGGGCCCCTCGAGCCTGGGCGGGGTGACTCTGTGGGCGGATCCGGGGAATGAGCCAGCTCAGTGAAGGGTGTGGTTCTGGCTCGGGTCAGCCTCTCGAGCTGCCCCTCGCTCAGAGCAAAGGTCTGGTTTGTTTCTGCGGAGCCCGTGGGCCGCGTCGGTTTACGAGCTGCTGACGAGCTTGCCTGCCAGTCTGGTTGACTTGGAGTTGGGGTCTGCGCTTCCTGTCGCACCCTCATCCACACCGTAACCTGAACACTTCTCCTTTTGTCTTTATTTTGCTTTAACCTCAGATTCCTATTATCAGCACTGCCCTGTGGTTGTAAGAGTCCTGTGGGTAGGGAAGTTGTGTGTGTGTGTGTGTGTGTGCGCGCGCGCGCCCTACGCTTGTATTTAGACTTAATAACCAGAGCTCTGAGTGTGTTGAGTTTTAGGTCACTTGATTGATGCGATTCAGATTCCTCACAGCATTTGCCCAGTGAGTCCCCTGGCCCCAGTACTTACTCTCTGGCCTGCTTGAGCTTAAGTCTCACTCATTCAGAACCACTGGGGCAGGCATAGGAAAGCTGGAGTTTTCTGGCTGCTCCTCCTGGGACTGGTCAGAATGTTATAGGCAGCAGGGGAGGAGAAGGAAGCCCCCTTTAGTTTCACACTTCCACACTTCGAGTTCGGTTTTCTTAGTTAATAAATCTGATACTAAATGCCTACTTATCTCATTGGTCTCCTTATTTCCTACTTGTTTCAGAGCCCAGGTGAGAGCAAGTGTGATTATTTGGCACTTTAAGAGTGTAATAGGAATTTAGTTGCCACCTGCCGAAGCCCCCCAGCCCGCCCAATAGTTAGGAAGTGTATCTGGAGGGTTGTTGTTTTTTTTTTTTTCCTTCCTCCCCAGTTTAATGGAAACAGTTGAACCCATGGATTAACTGTTAAAGTTATATCTTATAGGAATAAGTAGTGGCTAATTATATTTGTGCATCATCCAAACGTTTTTGTTTTTTTTTTAATTTCTAAAAGGCTAGATGGTTAATTGAAAGCTTGATTCAGTATATCAGCTGGAAACCAGAAGATGGAAAGGGTTAGATTTTAGTGTGTGGACTCTGGGAATTTCAATAAGAGCTTTTAAGTGTGGTCTGTGCTCTTGAGACAGCTTAAAAAAAGAATCTTAAAAGTTGAAGAATTATATTGAGCGTATTACTCATCTATTGCTGCCTAAGTTATCCTAAAACTTAGTGGTTTAAAACAACAAGTGTTTATTAGCTCACAGTTTCTGTGTGTCAGAAATTAAGAAGTGGCTTTCTGGGGTACCTGGTTCTGAGTCTCATGAGGTTGCAGTGAAGCTATCAGCCAGGGATGCTGCCACTCAAAGGCTTGATTAGGGCTTCAGGATTAGCCTCAAAGCTGGCTCACTCACATGCTTGGCAATTGGTTCTTTTTTGGCAAGAGGTCTCAGTTCTTCACTGGTGGGCCTCAATGAGCTACTTAAAAGTCATCATGGTATGGTGTCTGGCTTTCCCTAGGGTAAGAGAAAGACAGAATCCACAGTGTCTTATATAACTTAGCCACGTATGCCATATAGCAATTCCTATTGGTGACACAGGTCAGCCCCATTTATTGTGAGAGGACTACCTAAGAGTGTAATTACCGGCAGCAGAGATCATCAGGAGCCACTTTGGAGGCTGGCCAGCACAGGAAGTCTCCCCTTTTTTGAGCTTATATTTTTTCATAAAACCAACATGACTTTCACAACATTATAAATATGAAACATTTGTCATGGTAAACATGTAGGTGTTTTTGCTTGGATAGTCCATTATCTTCAGTGATTTTTTTTTTAATTGGGCTTATTTTTGTATTCAAAGCAGTGACATAAGACTAACTTGGGTCAGTTTAAATTGTAAAAGGTAACATTATAAGTAGTCCATTGTCTTGAAGCAATTCATTTCATGGAAGTTACTGTTTTTTATTATACCTTTCCCCAACATGGAATAGAATCCTTGGAACAAGAGAAGGAAAAAGGAGATTATTACTCTCATCTGGAAGCACAACTGTGAATTCAGTTATTGCCATACATTATCTTACAAAGCAAAATTTCTGGGCGATTTAGGATCAGTGCTTGGAAATCTATGTTGAATATGCTTTTGTTAATTTTTACTGTTAGCATTTCTGTTAGCTATCAGCATTTCCCTTCTTTCTCTTTACATTCATCAAAGCATTCTAAAAGTTTGATTTAGTATACTTGCATTATTTTATATAACTTCACTTACCATGGTCATGATTGACCATGAGTAATTGCAATTGTTTGGTTTCTAAAGCTTTTCTTATGTTCAGAGTCCCCATATGTGTCACTGTCAGCAATAAACTCTCCTTTGGGCTTTGCTTCTAGACTCCTGTCTATCTTCCCATTCCAACAGACCTGATGATATTTCCAACCCCTAGGCTTTCTATTCCAGCACTGGAAGCTTCTGGTGCACACTGAGTTGAGTGTGGAGGGTGTGTCAGGAGAGTAAAGACTTAGGACTAACTGGTTTTGAGGTGTAGGTAAGGCAAAATACAGCAGTTCTGCAGGCAGTTGGAAAATGGTGGTCTGAAGCTTGGGGGAGAGAAATCAGGGTTACAGGCACAGTTTTGAGAGTCATTCCTAAAAAGGTGGTAGATGAAACTGAAGTAGAGGAAGAGATCATTATGAGGGAAACTGTAAGTGAAATAAAGTGGAACAATGCGAGAATTCTGTTGTCTTGGGAATGGTTAGAAAATGGAAATCATTTTGTAAAACTCCAGTCTTTGTATAACTGAAAGAAGACGAATTTCTAACGTATTTTATGGTGGTGGTGGTAAAACACACGCACACACACACGCACGTAATGTGTTTTTAATGTTTATTTTAGCTTTTCAAAATGTCCAACAAAGAATCTTGTGGAAAAAAAGAGAAGTCTCGGAGAAAAGGCAGCACCGCATCACCCAACTTTGACGTAGAAGTAAGAATTTTGCTTTACTGACCCAAAGATACCTTTTTTTGCAGTTCACTTTTGTGTTAAGAAAAAAATACCTCAGTTTTAAAATGAGCTATGTAAATATTTTGTTTTGCCCTTCTGACACAGAAGTAATTTGTTTTTCCCATCCTTTTTTTTCACCCATTCTTGCATTATTTTATTTATTCCTCACAACTCTGTGAAGTAGGTACTTTATTATCCCAATTATACAAATGCCAAAACTGAGGCTTAGAGAGGTATGTAATTTGCCTAGCCATTCCTGACTTGAGTTCTAGGCCCTCCTTTACATAGAAATAACTCACCATTATACCTTTATTGTGTGTCCCTTCTTCATTTACTCAGCACTGGATAAGATTATATGCTCATCAGTCAGAATAGGCTACCCTGTGCGGGGGAGGCTAAAGGTAGGGACGGCATGCTCACCATGTGCCTTTCTCTGTGACTCTCAACACATTACCTTAGGAAGTACTTAAAAAAAATTTTTTTTAGTATTTATTCATTTTTGAGAGAGAGAGAGAGAGAGAGAGCAGGAGAGGGACAGAGAAAGAGGGAGACACAGAATCTGAAGCAGGCTCCAGGCTATGCCCTGTGAGCACAGAGCCCGACATGGGGCTCGAACTCACAAATGTGAGATCATGACCTGAGCCGAAGTTGTAGGCTTAATTGACTGAGCCACCCAGGCTCCCTGGAAGTTTTGTTTTGTTTTTTAAGTTTATTTATTTATTTAAAGAGAGAATGAGAATGAGTGGGGGAGGGGCAGAGAGAGGGAGACAGAAGATCTGAAGCAGGCTCTGCGCTGACAGCACAGAGCCCGATGTAGGGCTCGAACTCACAAAATGTGAGATCATGACCTGAGCCAAAGTTGGACACTTAACCGACTGAGCCACCCAGGCAAACTAGAAGTATTTTAGCAGATGAAATTTAGGGTGTCCCAACTAATTGAGTGAAATGTTATCTCTAGGAAACGACTGAAACATGATTTATGTGACCAAAACAAATGAAAACCCTGCAATTAGTTTTATTATAAACTCTCTGAATAGTCTGCTTAGTGCATCATCAGAATTAGACAATGTTTATGCTACATTACCATCCAAGATGAGAGAATAAAGTCTAGCAAAGGTGAATATTCACTATAGAAGTGATTTCTGTGGTAGCAGATTAGTTCATAAGGCTTTTACATCACCTGGATAAAGTAGACTAAGGATCATTACACTTTTTGATGTTTGTTCCTTTCTTACTATCTGATTACTAATTTGACCTCCCAGATATAGGGATAATTGGAAAGGGGACCCTGGAGTATGGCCTTACAGTACTATGGTATCTTTGATTTATGTATCTTCTATTTGGCACTGATAATTGGCATGCCATTTGCAATTCTCCTCCTATTCTCTTTTAATCTCCTTGAATCAGACTTTTTGTTGCCATCACTCCTCCAAATGTGCTCTCATCAAAGCCAGCAGCAGTGGTTTCCATGTTGCTAAATCCATTTGTTGCTCTTCAGACCTCATCTGACTTGAACCATCAGCAGTATTTGACATAGCTGATTCACTTTCTCCTTGAAACATTTTCTTCACTTAACTTTTGAAACACCATATTCTCCTGATTTTCCTCCAC